CAAGGCTGGCCGCAAACTCCACCTCCTGAGTGCTGGCGTTAAAGGTGTGTGCTTTCTCTCCTGCCTCCTGCTTTGCTTTTTAAATTACATCTCTGTTGTGTGTGTGCTCCAGATCGCTACAGTGCCCAGGTGGGGGTCGGAAGGCAGCTTCCAGGGGTTCATTCTCCCTCCACTGTGTGGCTTCTGGATATTACGCTCAGGTCACCAGGTTTGGTGGCAGCGGGGACCCTTCCCCAGTGAGCCACCAAACCCTTCACCTTATTATATTTTCTTGGAACAAGGTCAGTGTTTGGTTACAGACATGCACTACTCCATCTATTTTGTTGTTGTTTTATTGTTGTTTGTTTTTGTCTTGTTTTGGTTCAGTCCTGGAGATCCAGTCTCAGATTCTTAGGCTTGGGAAGTAGGCAGGCACCCACTGAGCCATCTCCCTAGCCCCTTAAGTTTATTTTAAAAGGGAACGGTAAATAATACGCATAAGTAAATTGTCAAAGGTGACGCTAACCAGGAATTCCACTCAGGAGAAATGGTTGTAGCGCCATCAGAAGTGGCCATGTTCCAGGTGAAGCCGGGATCCCTGCCCTGCAAAGGGAAGATGCTTGACTCAGGAGGGGCAGCTAGAAAGCCTGCTTCACAAACAAGTGGGCTTGAAGGGGATGGAGGGGTAGGGACTTAGTATCTGTCATCCAGTCTCTAAGGAACCGTGTTTGTGGGTTCTAACTTTAACCGCCATGACTGCTATGAGGCTTGTTTGCTTGTTTAGGACAGGGTCTTGCTTTGCAAACAAGGCTGGTTTCAAATTTGTCACCCTCCTGCCTCAGCCTCCTGAGAGCTAACATTACAGGCACGGGCTGCCTTTCTGGGTTACAATCCCTGATTTCACAGATGAGGGAGTTTGGACCAAAGGGAATTGGCTACTTGCCCAGGACTGAGGAGCTGGTAAGGGAGTTGACTGTGTTCTGAGTGATTCCAGATGTACCTCAACCCTGTTTCCCACAGGAGAAGCTCAGCTCTCCAGGGAGGAACCGTCAGGTCCTCTAGTATCAGGAGTAAGAAATGGGGATGCCAGTCAACTCTATCTGACCTCCAACTAGCCAGGGCAGGCTCCCAGGGGCTGAGTCTGGAGTGAAACCTGTGTATGTAGCCAGAGCTGGTGTGTGTGTGTGTGTGTGTGTGTGTGTGTGTGTGCGCTAGCATGTACATGCACTGGGAGTGGGTGTGGGTTAGTCTTCTCCAGAACACTTGTGATGTGGCGTCATGAGTCTAAGTGATTCTTGGGCTGGTCAGGACTTAGTTCTGGGCTTCAAGGCAGGGAGCTCTAGAGGGTGGGTCAGGCCAGGTCCCAGGTGCAGAAGTCAAGCACAGAAGCAGAAGATGGGCGAGGGGGACAGTCCTCTGCCCCACAGTCTGTCATCTGAGGTGTGTATCTGGCATAGTCACCGTGGGAGTCTTTCTGGAGGGAGTTGGGCCTGTCCCTCCAGCCCCTCTGCAGTACGATGGTGACAATCCCCTGTCGACGTCATAGTGAGTACCGTCTTAGGTACCAGTGTGTGGTGCTGTCTTCGCTGGACAGTGGTCAGTTCTTACCCTCCTCACATGCAGGAAGCCAGGCCTATGGGAGCGCACTTGTTGGGGGCCAGGCTTGGGACATGCTTGACTACTCAAACCCATGCCGCCCGGACACAGCTCTCAACATGGAGAATGAATAGGTCTCCCGCTGCAGGGCCTGGCCACCCAGCCCTGCACCCGGAGCCAGTCACCCTGACTGTGTTTGTGCTTCCCACCTTGTATGTTTTTGCTGAGCGCTGTGGCCCACGGACAACACTAGCTCCCTGTCAGCTCACAAAGGGCCTCCTCATTCCTTTTCCTCTCTTAGTGCAGAGCCCCCACCCTTGTGCCAGGACGGGCCTGGGCCGCCAAAGGGGCCTACCTCGCAGCAAGAATGAGCTGCTTCTGTTGTGTTTGGCTACTGTCTTGAGGACTTAGCTATTTATGACACACCCTTTGGGGTCCCTCTCCCCACCATGGCTCCTGCCACTATTCTGGGTGTCAGTAGTAGTACTTGCGTCCTTTTCCCAGGGTGATTTGCTGGGCAGGGCCCTCTTGTGGCAGATGTCAGAAGCCCAAAACTGCAGATGCCCTGGGGAAAGCATCTCTCAAAGAAGAGCAGAGCCCCGGAGACCAGAGTGCCCTCCGCAGTCCAGTACCCTGCCCTGTCCAGGCTCAGCGCTGCAGGGTTCCAGCATGCCCCCATGTGGTCACTGGGGACAGGGCTGCTTCCAGGGAAGGGCGGGGTTGAGGACAGGTACTGGCAGATGGTTTAGAGGGGTTAACCTGGGTAGGGGTTAACCTGGGTAGGGGGTCTTATCCTCAGCACTAGTGAGTTGACACCAGGAGGGGAGTGGGGGTAGGCTTTGGTAAGCTGGGAAGGCTGAGTCCATGCCTACCTAGTCCAAAGTTTGACAGCCTGCTTACAACCAAGAGTCAGCTTCTAGAAGCTTCTTGGACAAACAGGTCTGGGGAGGAGATGAAGCAGAGATGAGGTCAGAGGGAACCGAACCCATTGTGACTCCCAACCGGATCTTGGAGAATATAGGCAAACACACGCGGGGTGTTTGAGGGGATGGCTATGGAGGCTCTGGACTAGGGGAGTCCAATCTGCTGTCCCGTGAGCGTCATGCACCCAGAATAGTAATGAATCCTGGTCAACCCAGAATCATATACTATACCAAAAATGTGAGATTTGTCTCCGATTTTTTTTTTCCTTGGGTAACTTGACTACATGTGAACCCGCTGTGTTGTGATGTTAAAAGTTTGGTCTAGACCCACTTCTGCTGGAGGGTGAGTGGGAAGGGACCGCTTCTCCAGGCCTGGCTGTGGAGTGCACACAGCTCAGGATGGAAAGGAACTGTGGCCTCCTGTTCTTTGGGCAAACTCTCCAGAGGCAGTGGACGGCTCCTTTCCCTGTGGCAAATATGTGGGTGGAACCTTTGAAGAACTGGCCTGTGGGCAGGGATCGCAGTGTTTAGGTCTGTGCTGAGTCTGCTCTCAGCTGCCAGCGCTTCCCTGAAGTGGCCTCGTGTTGGGTAGCCGCGTGGGAGAATTTACACTTCGAGAATGGGCAGGCACTGCGCATCTGAACCTTCGCTTCTTTCTTTTTATCTAGAGAGTGGTTTTGCAGACACACTGCATGACCATCTGCTAAGGGGAAAAGTCCTCTGTGAACGCAAAATGCCTAATCTGTCTTGCTTCGGCCTCCTTGCCTGAGAGTTTGAGTCTTGATATCTGTGGTGCCCACTCCATGGCATGCCAAAGAACAAGGTCACGAGTGTGTTCTGCAGACTCTGGCACGGTGGAGTGTCACCACCTCCCTGCCTGTGTGGGGACTAGAACCTCCAGAAGCAGGTTTGGAAATGTCGACATGTAGACTTAGCTCTGTAATGAGTGCCCTGGGCTCTGACTGCAACATCTTTCTTTACCTCTAAGAGGGATCTGGGTGCAAAGATCTTTGGGGTCACTTCTAGGTCCAGTATTCCTAACCCCCCTCCCACCTGTATGCTGGCCGTGTCTTCTCAGTGAGAGACTGGTCTCCATCTCTCCTTGTTTTTGCTTTCTGGCAAGGGACTCTAATCTGGTCCCGTGGTCTGACGGGCTGCCACTCTCCTGATGAGCCTTACATGTGAACTGCCACCCACGCCACACTGGGTATCAGGCTCCTGGGTACACAGTGTTACCCTGCTATGGCTTCACGTTGATGCCTCACAGGAATGGAGGATGAATATGGATCAAAACCTGAGTCCCTTGGCCGTCCCCAGCCTCTTTGCATTGAGGGTGCCTCTGCCCACTACAGTACCTGAACCTCAGGCCACCCTTCATCTGTCTTTTCTTATCCCCTGCACCTCCATCCGGAATGCTCAGTCTCCTGAAGTTGTCCTCAGCTTGTCATCCTTAGATCACCTCTACCCTTGCCTGCTTCAGTGTCTTGCTTGGCTCTGGAATAATTGTCTTGTCTGGCCCTGGACTGAGTGTCCTGACTGAACCTGGACTGAGTATCTTGCTGGCCTTGGACTGAGTGTCTTGCCTGGCCCTGAATTGAGCATCTTGCCTGGCCTTGGATTGAGTGTCTTGCCTGGGCCTGGACCGAGTGTCTTGCTTGGCTCTGGAATGGCTGTCTTGCCTGGGCCTGGACCGGGTGTCTTTCCAGGCCCTGGATTGAATGTCTTGCCTGGGCCTGGACTGAGTGTCTTGCCTGGCCCTGTATTGAATGTCTTTCCTAGCCTGGACTGGTTGTCTTGCCTGGCCTGGAGTGGCTGTCATGCCTGGCCCTGGATTAAATGTCTTGCCTGGCCCTGGAGTGAGTGTCTTGCCTGGCCTGGAGTGGCTGTCTTGCCAGGCCTTGGATTAAATGTCTTGCCTGGCCTGGACTGACTGTCTTGCCTGGCCCTGGAGTGAGTGTCTTGCCTGGCCCTGGACTGGTGTCTTGCCTGGCTCTGGTCTGACCTAACCTCCTCACTGGTTTTGTGCTTCTGATCTAGGTCAGAGCCCCACTCCACCCACTATGGCCTCCCTTGGGTGCTCAACCCTGCACATACCCTCCCTTGCACACAGGCATCTTGCACACACACCCTTCCAACTCACTGGTTCTTCTCACGTTCAGAATCTTGCTAAGCCCTGTGTCCCTGGGACTTCCTGCTCCGTCTTGTACTGGGCACGGCTATCTCTCAGCCTCTCACCTCAGTCCTCACCTGCCTCTGCCTGAGGCCATCCTCTTTCTGCCATCCTCCCCAAGGGCACTGGCGTGGGCTGGGTGAGCACGGTCGCTTCTTGTGCCCCAAAGTTACAAACACCAGAGTTAGGACCACTTTTCCTTTTCTTTCTTTTTTTGTGGTTCTGAGGATGAGTCCAGGCCCCTGTGCATGTGGCCAGGGGATCTACCCCATAGCCCCAGCCTGGACTGTCATGTTCACTGTGTGCCCCTGAGCCCCAGCCCCACCAGCCTGGCATGGAGTAGACTCCTGTTTTGTGTTTCTAGAAGAAGTGAACGGCTTTCTTCCACTCTGGCCAAGGGCTGTGACTGCATGGGACGGGGAAAGAGGGTGGTCTTGTCACTTGTGGTGCTGGGATGTCCTCCGAGTGAGGCTGGCTCCTGGGGCATTCTTCTCAAGCCAGCTCTGTGTGAGGGCGAGTCCTCTCCACTGCAGCTCTGGGTGGGGGCAGGAAGGAGTAGCTGACTTTGGGTGGAGGCATCTGGAGGGCGATGCGGATGGGATCTGGTGGCTTGTCTGCTTTGTAGAGATGTCCTCCAAGCCTCTGCTGAAGGGACCTCAAGGGTGGTTCTCCGGCTTCCAGCATGGAGGGGGTCACCAGCGTGGTGGAATAATCCAGAAGCTGCATTCTGGCTACTGTACTAGAAAGGAGAGTGGGTGAAGTGGGGGAGAGGAAGGGCGGAGGGCAGGAAGGTGTCCTTCAGACCGAGAAGTAGAAAGCAGAGTCTTGGCTTCATCCTTTGAGCCTCCTCGGCCTTCTAGGCCTCTGAACTTGACTGAGTGAGGGTGTTATGTATTGGCCAGCACCATCAGGATCCCCAGCAACATCATCATCAAGCGGAGCCCACCGCTGAGTGGGAGAGCGGACCCTGGAAAGACAGAAGGCTCCATGAGAGATGGAGAAAATTGTATCTCAACTCCATGGGCTTCTGGAGGACCAAGGGCCCCAACTGTCTCCACAAACCCCCAGGTTTCTCTCAACAACCCCCTTGGGGTGTGTACGGTGGCCTGGTTATGGGCTTGCAAGCTCACGGGTGTGCCTATGCCATCACGGGCCCCAGAGGAGGGGCGTCCCTGCCTCACCTGATTGGAGCATGGGTTGCAGGGTGCCAGGATGCCCATCGTTGGGCTCGGGCACAATGCCAAGCAGCTGACACATGAGCTCGTACACATGGATGCTCTCAAAGGGCTCCACCTCCAGGCCTGCCTTGAAGCTGGGACCCACAGCCCGGAAGATGGTCTTCATATCCATGTTTTGGTTGTCGAAACCATGCTCACCCTTGTTGAACTGGACGTTCACTCTCTGCAGGGAGGACCAAGGATTCTGGGTCATGAGTGGGGACCACGCTGTCCCCAGTACCTCCTTATCAATCTTTTCCTGCTCCCCCATGGGTTGGCCCCTGTGTGGGTGGATGACCTTAGGGAAAGTTTGCCATGTGTGGTAAGATGGCCTCTAGATTCCTATGAGTTCTGGGACCCCAAAGATGAAGTTTCACTGAATAACTGTGGACCACGTGAAGACCCTATGACACTGAGTGGGGTAGAGATGTTAGCCTGCGTCCATGGTTCAGGGCGTGCCCATTTGTGCTGCATCTAGGATTCCCTCTCTGGTATGGGCCCTGTTTTCTGTCCTTTCCCCCATGATCCAAGCCACCCTTGAGCCTGGACTTCTCACACTTTACCTGAATCCTGCACATGTACACACACACACACACACACACACACGCACACATGCACTACACATACTCCTGTTGCATAGTGCTGAGTGTGCCCCATGGGTGGCTGACACCCACTAGGGGGTAGATAGAATCAGGGTGCCACCCACAAGCCGTGCAGCAGCCCACTGACCCCATGGATGACGTAGCCAAGGTCACTGTACATGAGTAGGGACGTGATCCTTGAGTTGTTGGCGTAGTGGAAGCTCTTGGGGAAATCTTCCTTTTTGTACACGTGCAGCCTTGGGTGGGCATCCTTGAGGACGCTGTACACCTTCTCCAGCATCCCTTCCTTGGGGATCAGCATCCCATTGGGCCCGTAGTCTAAGAGCTCGAACTCGATGTCCTTGAAGGTAAAGTTGGGGAACTTGTGGAACTCCACCAAGTCGCTGGCTTTCTGGTTGACTGTCGTCATGCCGTGGTCGGATGTGATGATCAGGTTGAGGCTGTCTGAGAGGCTGTGGCGCTTGATGCTGTCCCGGAGGTAGCCCACAGTCCTGTCAACCTGTTCCACTATGTCCTTCCTCTGCTGGGACTCAGGGCCGTATTTGTGGCCAGTGGAGTCTGGCTCCCCGAAATAGAGAGTGACTAGGGCCGCATCCTCCTCTGTGAACCACTTCATCACGGTGTCCACATTTTCCCTCCACTCTGTTTCGTTTTTGTAATTGTGGAAGATGCCTTCCTTCCGGCTCATGGTCACAGCCTCTCCTTGGTAGGTGACGTTCCCACCAGGGTAGAAGAAGGAGCCAGTTTTTAAGCCCTGCAGGGTGAAGTAGTATAAGTTTCACGACTTCTGTCTTGTCTTTCCCCCTCGCCCGAGCCCGCCTGCTTCTCTCTCTGCGCTCCCTCATCCACTTTTGCCTGCTGCCCTGAGGCCTTTTGCTTCCTGAAGTGGACCTTATCTCACAGATCCGGGGCAGGGACAGTTCATTTAGAGGACAAGCAGCCAGTGTCGTCAAGCCCAAACTGAGACTGTAGATGGGCAATGTCCCCACATGCCATGATCTTCAGCATCCTCGCTGCGAGCCTCAGCTGTCTCGAGGCCTCCATTCATTGTCTTCTCCTCCGTCCACTTTGTCCCAACCACCTGCTCACCCATCTTCCCATAAATCCTTGCTGCCCATTCTGTCTGTCCGTCCTTGGACCCTGTTAACATGGGTCCAAGGTTCCTGTTCAGTTTCTCCTCCCCCACTCCCTCATTTTTTTCCTCTCCTTATCAGGGGAGGCTGAGTTCTCACTTTCGTTTTTGGCTCTGAAGCTGGAGGAGCGAGTGCCATAGGACAGGAAGCATCACCTGGGTGGAAGTGCAACCGTGGGGCCGTGGGTTGTTCCTGCCTACCAGGAAACCCTCCCTTTGGCATCACTGACTAGAAGCCTCCCCTGAAGAATCCCCTGGGGCAATGCGAATTGGGACCACTCTCGTCTCACAGTGCACCCGCCTGTTTAATCTTTGGCCCTTTCGCATCCAGATGCCCAGTGGTGGGACTGGAAACAGATCAAGACTCTTGGCTCAGCATTTTCTTATTGAGTCAGTCAGCTACCCAGAGTCAATGTGATCCTCCTCTCCCATGCCAAAGGGCCTGAGGGTGAGACCTACCTCTCCTCTCCCACCCCTCCTCTCCCTTCTCCTTTCTCTCCTCCATCCCTCCTCCCTTTTCTTCTTCCTTCCCTCCTTCCTCCCCTTTCCCTACCCCCTCCTCTCCTTCCTTCCTTGAGCGGGCCTTGCACAGCCCAGACTGGCCTCAGACTCACTGTGAAGCCAAGGACAGCCTTGTCTCTGGATCCTCCTGCAGGTGTACACAACCACACCCGACTTTCTGCAGGGCTGAGGCCAGAACCTAGAGCTTCCTGCACGCAGGGCAAGCCCTCTGCCATACCAGGTAAACCCTTCGTCCGCCTGGGATGGCTGCCTGCAAGGTCCTCAGGGGTTCATTGAGCAGCTTCCTATGCCAGAAGGCAGGATGCCTGTGCCTGCTGTGGATTCCCCATGACCATGGCCTCAGCTTCCCCATGGGCGGGCCATCTTACCTGTCTCTGGGCTGTGATCCAGATGGGTATGCTGCCGTTGTCCCACCAGTTTGTGATACCCAGCGTGGTGTGGTAGGGCCACCTCACCTTGGTGGTGGTGTTGTAGAACATGTTGTGGACCACACCATGGTTCTCAATGTATTTGCCTGGGACGGGAAGCAGAGGGCAGGACGTGTGTGTGGAGCAAGCCTGGGGAAGGCTCGTGAGACCACAGTCGCCTGAAAGCCCTATGGCGTACCAACCCCTGGGACACCAAAGAAGACTCCTCAAGGGCCCCTGTGTGGGCTCTGGATCCTGCTGGAGGCCCCCTCCTCAGAGCAATGACCTCTCGCTTTTGACCAGGGTGCCTCCCATTTGACACCCCCCCCCCCATGTTTCAGGCTCTTTCTATTCCCAAGCCCCGTTCTGAGGCTGGCACTCACCAGTGACCAGTGTAAAGTGGCAGGGGCTAGTCAGGGTGACAAAGGCAGGTGTCATGTATCGCGCCTTTACCCCTTCCTGAGCCATGGCATCCAGGTTAGGGGTGTCCACATCTTGGTCGTAGTTCCAGCGGAAGCCATCAAAGGACACGAGGAGTAACTTGTGTGGCTTTTGGAGAGGCGCCCCAGTCCCACAAGCCAGGATAGCCAGAGCCACGGTGAGGAGGACGGCTGGGTGTTCCATGATGGGCTCTCAGGTGAATAGGCACACTAACAGCTCAGGCCAGGAGTGGAGCAAAGTCCTAGGGTCAGCCAGGCCTCTTATCCTGTGCATCTCCAGAGATGGGATGTCACCAGTCTAGACTTTGCACATGAGGGCTGTGTGAGCCTGGCATGGCCTCTATCTCTAATGGAGTCCCCGGTTCCTCCTCCCTCTGCCTTCATCCTCCAGTGTCCTCATGATGGAGGGGGCCCCACGTCTCAGATCCTGGAAGCTTGGCTCTCTTGGGAACTGCCCTCCACCCTGGTCTTCACAGCGGCTCCAGGCTCCTCCAGTCTCAGAGGATGCCCAGCTAGGGGCAGAGTGGGCGGGCCTCTGTCTTAGGGTTCTACCGCTGTGAAGAGATGCCAATGGCAATGAAAACGCTAATAAAGGAAAACATTTAGTTGGGACTGACTTACAATTCAGAGGTTTAGTCCATTATCACCATGGCAGAAAGCATGGGGACACACAGGCAGACGTGGCGCTGGAGAGGGGCCGAGAGTTCTCCATCTGGATCAGTAGGCACTGGGAAGAGAGAGTGAGCCACTGGGCCTGACCTGAGCTTCTGAAACCTCAAAGCCCACCCCCAGTGACACACTTCCTCCTACAGGAAGGCCAGACCTTCAACAACGCCACTCCCTGGGAGCCTACAGGGTGGGGGCCATTTTCATTCAGACCAGATCTGGGTCTGCTCTGTCTGCTCTTTGCCTCCAGCAATGGCACAGACGTCAGGGATCTGCTCTTGTGACCAGACCTTCAGCTCAGTCATCAGGTGTGAGGCTGGAGGAGGAGGGCCCTGCGTTACTCTGGGTGTGGCATTCACAGCACACTGTCCTGGGTGCAGGGGGCATTTGCTGAGCACACACAGGAGCTCAGGCACACTTCTCCTTTTCTTCTGAGGACATTCTTGGTGCTCTGAGGCTTGATCCCAGGAACCTTTGGTCTGGGGCTGGGTAGAACAGACACCAGCATGAGTTACAGTTGTCCTGGGCAGCCAAATCAAACACGGGCTCAGGCCTGGAGGACCGCTCTCTGCTGATGGCTTTGTGGCGCAGTCCTTGGCAGGCTTGGTTATTCAGGCAGCACTGTGTTCTCTTCAGTAGACCGTGTGAGTGAATGACTGACTGTGTCTCCCCCGGGAGCGGCATGGTCTCCAGCTCCTGGTCCAAGGCCTGACACATGGCAGACATCCAGTAGAGGATGCTCCCTGGTTCTGCACAGCGTCAAGGTGGCCCCGTCTGGACTGCTTTGCTCTCTGCTTCTCTGGTGGAGTTGGGTTGGTGCTGCTAGGGACGCTGGTGCCCTAGAGACACCTTAGAGGCATACTGGATCAGGGCACACTCCCCAGACTCCCAGTCCGCTGTCCTCCGGGCTGTTATGGGTGACAGTTCGCTTTAGGGCACGGAGGTGGTAAAGCAGACCGTGTAACGTAGCTGGAGTAGAAATTCCCCATTGGAGGGAAACTGGGTCATGAAGACCTAGACTCTGAGACATGGCCGAGTCCCCAAGACAAATCCCAAGTTCCAGACAGGGTCTAGGACAGGCTGTCACTCCCAATGTCCTGGGTGAGTTCCTGTGGTGCACTGGGTGTTTTCAATGACTGTTACTCATACTTCCGGGACAGGAGTCTGGGGACAGCAGAGGCTAGCAGGGGCAGCAGGTCCCAGTCCATCACTCTGCTCTTGGGACCACCCAGGCCTCAGAAGGGGTGTGATCTTATGGCCAGGGTATTAGTGGTGAGACGCTTGGGTGGCACGGTTGTCCTGGGTGGCAGGTGCGAGAAAGCCAGGCTCCTTCTCTCTGCCCGTGCACCATCCAGGCTGGTTGTCCCTCTGCAGGTGTCTGTTCCTACTGCATCTGGCTCCTGTGGCCAGAGCCCTGGAGGTGGCCTGTTGATTGCCAGGCCCTCAATGATCTTTGTACTGTGGGGTTTTATTAGTGGCCTCCCCTCTTTATCAGCTGCTTGCCTTTTATTGCTTCTGATGGGCTGTGTCTCAGCCACTGCTGCCTCTCCTCCCGGATAAATGAGGATTAATATCTTAACAGGATTATGTGCTGTGGGCTCACTGTCTACCCAGGGACATGGGGTGCTTCCTCCTCCCTTTGCTGTCTTCATCCGCCCCAGGCCTTCCTGGCTGGTTTACAGGGAGCACAGTCACAGTTAGGACATCCATGCTTGGTGGGGTGTGTAAGGGTGGCTCATTGTTTCAGACTCTGGGATGGGGTGTGTGGGAGGGATTGGGGGTGTGGGAGGGATGGGGTGTGTGGGAGGGATGGG